GCAGAATTTATGTAACGTTGGAACAAAATAATATCCTGTAAACATATTTGTGGTATCAATTCAATTTCCCTACAGTTTCATTCTACAGCAAACCCTGCCAAGGGTTTATCTGGCTATTAACTTTTATGACATGTTTTTTTTTTTTAATACAAAAATATCTGTTCCTTATTTTTTAATTTAGTGATTATTTTTAGAGTTTTTCTTTTACATAATAGATCCAATATGAAATTTAGGAAGATTGTAAATCATTTAACATATTGGAAATCATTTTTATAAGTAACTTTTGAAATATCCACAACTCTCCTACTCCAAAGTTAGTTTCAATGAAAACTATATAAAAGAATTAACATTTATATACATAGAAATTTTATGTATATAAAGATTTTATAGCTTTTCCTTAGCAAACCCAACTTAAGGCCACATTTGTTAAAGATTTTTTTAATCATCAGTCAGAGCTTGCATTTTTTACCTTGTATCATGTCATGACAAAAGCATTCATCACAAGTGTACAAAGGTATTCAGTAATTCTGAAAATAAGTAAAAGGAGTAAAAGTTTGAAAGTTTAAACCTGCTAAGCAATAGAATGGTCATAGCATTGTTATATTTATTTAGGTTCTTCATATGTTAAAAAAACCTCCACTAAAATTCTGAAATATAAGCTAACTTTTTTTTCTCACTTTGTTTATTTCATAAACTAGCTATATGTATATGTAAATGAATTATACATTTAAGCATGAATGAAACGCTTCCAATGGTAATACTTTGAAATTTTTCATTGTTCAGCTATTTCAAATTTGAAAACAGGAGTTTTTCACTATTACAAGAATAAATTCATTATCTTTTCTACTCACTGACTTAGGTGAACATTGGAAGTTGGGAAATCATGAAGTAAACTTATAAATACATTACAGACTCTTAGTGTAAGAGTTAATAGAACCAAAAGTCAAAAATCCCGGTGCTACTGTTTTCTGTGGGTTAGGGAGATAAATTATAACTTCAGCATCATTTGAAAGAGGTTGTTTTTATAATCTAAGAAGAGATCTTCATAATCATTATAGTTAATGGGTAAATTCAGGTCATCCTCATGGTCAAACTGAGTGCAGACTTATTTTTAAATTAAACTTTCAAGAACACTGTTGTTTTTTTTTTAAATGATTCTAACATTACAACCTAAATTCAGGACCACCACCAGCCAACATGTGCTATATACACTAGAACAAAGCATCTCATGCTCTGGACAATGCAGTCTTATGCAGGGGCCATGGCGTAACCAGGGATGTCAGGCTGGTTTTGCTCCTCCTCCCCAGGGCAGCCAGTGCCCCTTATTCAGGGTACAGGCGGCACCAATGTGTACAGCACGTGGGCAGGGCTGTTGCTTTCAGGTACATGAGCACACATCCTCATCTTCCATGCTACAATTTTCAATCTCAGTGTAGTTGGAATCGACTTAATGATCTACTAGGCAGTTACCACCTCATGACACAGAGCATCCACTTTGGGTGGGACTGAGAAACTGCCAAAACATTTGGTGGCACCCTGATAATTTTAGTGTATTTTATTTGAACTTATGGTATTTTTCTTTAAAGATTTTATTTATTTGACAGAGAGAGACACAGCGAGAGAGGGAACACAAGCGGGGGAGTGGGAGAGGGAGAAGCAGGCTTCCAGCTGAGCAGGGAGCCCGATGTGGGGCTCGATCCCAGGGCCCTGGGATCACGACCTGAGCTGAAGGCAGACGGTTAACAACTGAGCACCCAGGTGCCTGAACTTATGGTATTTTATGACCAAATTGGACTAGTAATCACATAGAGTGAAATGTTATAGATAACATAATATTAATATTTTCCTTTTTCTCCCTCTTTCCATGGATTTCCATGCTGTCATGAAAGAAATACATTTATGATGTACTGTATGGTGACTAACATAATAAAATAAAATTTTAAAAAAAGAAATATATTTAGATGACATTCTGACATATATATATTTCCTATATGTAGACATTAGAATATAGAAGGATGCCCAGAACTGCATTGACCTATTTAAAATCTCTCCCTGAACTAAGTTAGTTTGGTTTTCATGCAGATGATTTTTCTGGCCAGCTAATATTTGAGGACAAATGTACTATGACAAATGTGTCTCTGCTTCAGGTGGCCATAACTAACTAATGAAACATCATGAGAAAGCTTGTGTCCCCTGTGGGAGGGAAAACAGTGTCGAACGCTTGATGGTATTTCCTCCTCCTTTATAAAGATCCATTTCTCCCTTGCAAAATTATTGTAAAACAAGAAGTTGAAATCTGCTACTGAGAGGGCTGGGCCTTTCCCCCTGCAGAGCTGACAGCTGAAGGAGTCAAACCAAAACCCAACCGGCCACAAAAACCTCAATGTGGGCCAGAAGGTCCAGACACTCTGGGCTCTTCCCTCGTGTTCCTTCGCTGACTCACTTGGACGCAAGTGAACACACAAGGGATGTGCTGATTGATGCGGTCCTCTGCAGGATCAGAGCAAAGGCAGAAGGGCATCTGCAACAGGTGCTCACAGGCTAAGTGATATTACCTGGCATGCTCTCACTCCCGGGGATGCCTCGCCTGACGGTCCCGGCTTCCTTTTGTCTCATGCTAATTCTGACTGGTGCATATTTCAAATTAATACAAATCGAATCAGTGCTTTCCATAGTTTTTCCTTTAAATCACATCAAAGACTAAAACTGTTGCCCACAACGGCTCCCCTGTATTTCCACAGAACAACCCCTCCAGACTATGCTATTTTACTCTGCACTTTGGACACCCAATCCTTGCATTTAGTCCTGCAGCAAGAGAAATATACTGAAGCTGACGCTGAACACTCCTGGTGTAGGTATTGAGAGAAATAGGGACAAAGCCGGAGTATCAGAGGTGGCCTTTTCTTAGTAAGATACTCTGGGATTTTTCTTCCCTTTCCTTCTTTCTTTCCGGCTAGTGCTCGTGGGTGGCCTTCCTTTCTGCGGCTGAAAGCTAAGAGATCCCACTGCGCCACATCTTATTCGAGTTGGCGTTTGTGGCAGGAACAACTTTCTCTGTTCATTCAGCTGCCCACAAGCTATTATTAGTGTTTCCAGAGGTCAGTGACTCAAAATAAACAACTTTCTTTCTCTCTCTCTCCACCCCCCCCCCCCCCCCCCCCCGCTGCCAGGGACTCTCACACAAAATCAAACTATCTTACTTTAGATTTTGAATCAGTTTCCATACGTCCTGGAGCATTTTTAAGGGATTTTATCATATTCTTTGCAAACCACTAATCTAGATTGTACCATTCTTGTTTGCTTTTTTTTTATTCAGAAATTTATCTCTATAGATTCTTTCGTTTTTAAATTCCAGTATGGTTAACATACAGTGTTATATTAGTTTCATGTGTACAATATGTACCATTCTTGTTGGAGAAGTTCAGTAACATCAGCTGTCTCTGGTAATGTGAGTCTCAGCCACTCAACAACCAGACATGCCTGCTAAACTCTATTTACATGCACAGTAGCAGATTAGATGTGTATCTCTGTATTGAAATGCGTTAGCATTGCAGAAGAATATAATACAATGAGACTTGTATTCTTATTGTATTCTGGTTGTATTCTTACTGTATTCCTTGCACATTTTTTTTCTAAAATTACTTTCCTTCATCATATTCAAAAGTACATTTTTAATTTTGTAAATATTTAGTTACCCAGCCTATAAAGAGTGGGGAATGTGTGTTAAGAGAGTTTATATCTAAGCTCAAATATTTGAAAATAAGTTTAGGGACGCCTGGGTGGCTCAGTCGGTTAAGCGTCTGCCTTCAGCTCAGGTCATGATCCCAGGGTCCTGGGATCAAGTCCCACATCGGGCTCCTTGCTCGGCGGGGAGCCTGCTTCTCCCTCTGCCTGCCGCACCCCCTGCTTGTACTGTCACTTCCTCTCTCTCCCTCTAGCAAATAAACAAATAAAATCTTAAAAAAAAAAAATTAAAAAAAAATAATAAAAAAAAAAGAAAATAAGTTTACAACTAATCCCATTAATAATTTGAAAAACTAAACCTTCATTTGTTCATCGTTGATTTTTATGTACTTTTCATGGCCCAATATAGTTAAAATGAAAAGAGTTTAAGAGCGTATGTGAGGCTTGAGTTTATGTGATTTCGCTCAACATTAGCAAGCTTATTTTGGTTTTATTTTGTTTTCTGATTTTTAGTATGTGGAAATGCTTGTGGTTTAGAACTATAAGTGCTCTCAAATTCTTTTCAAAATGTTTAATGAAATAGTCCCAGTTTAGTATCATTAATATTTAAAATATGAAAATGGAGTCTCATAAGAAGGTAATCAAAGATTATAACTAATTTAGGGAATTAATAAGAGCATATTCATGCCAAGCTGCGCATTGACAAGTTACAACTATAGTATTAATTTTATAGTTTGAACCAAATGTCATTGTTCACAGAAATGCATGTTTCCATGGCAATGACTTCTGTAACAAAAGATACTGCCTTCTGAATCCATCCCCTTTTCCTTCAAAGGATCCTGTAAACAATAAGACCATTATCTGCATTTGTTTGCCAGCTCATGAAGCTGGGTCTTGGATATGTGGATCATCAGGTATTTTATTATAGTGCCATTGGCACTGTTGGTATGGGCTATGTGGACTTCCAGGGCCTGAGCTCTATATTTTGGCACTGCTTTGCTATAAATGGGAGAACTTGTGGTCTTGAATTACAGTCTCACCCTATTCCACTGCATTGAGGCACTTAACCCATACTTACTGAGCATGTGTTCCAGGCACTGTCCCTAGGCATTAGGTATAAAGCAATGAACAAAGACAGACACAAATCCCATTTTTCATGGACCTTACAGCCCATCTAGAGGACACGGACTACAAACAAACAAGTAAATAAATATAAAGTCTTAGGTCATCCTAAGTGCACACCGGGTGGCAGGGAGGGACTGGAGGGGAGGTAGACAAAATTAGATAATGTAGTCATGAAATTTCTCTCCAAACAGGAAGCAATTCAAGATGAACCCTGACTGATGGGACAAAAGTGGCTAAGTACAGACATGGGGAAGGGCTTTCCTAGCCATGCAAAAGAAGGACAAGGATGAGAGGTAAGAATAAGCTTGGCCATGTAGAGATAGAGAGAGAGCAGGTGTAGGGCAAGATGACTGAGGGGCAGAGCAACAAAGGAGCTTGAAGATAGCTGAGGCCCAGTGTAGGTTAGATGAGGAGTTCAGACTCTGCTCTAATCCAAATAAAAAGTATTGGAGGGTTTGGGGTAGCAGAGTGACGTGTTTTGATGTACACTGTGAACAGTCACTTTGTGACCCACCTTGCAGACTCTTCAAAGAAATTTCCTAAATACTGTTTCACACATCACACTGCCTATTCGAAAGCCTGAAATGTCTCTTCAGTTTCATCAGGATAAAATGACAATTTTCTAAACATTTTTCCTGCCCTTCCACAATGTGGAGGCAATGAACTTACCAAGTACAACTCTTACGAAGCACAAGTTCCCTTCCATTCCAATTCATCTGATCAGTATCTTCCCAAACGTACTATGTCCTTTCTTGCCCTTCACAGCCCCTCCCCTGAACCACTTCATCCCTTGATTCTTCTGCCCAGACTCTTCCCATTCTGCTCCCATTTATCTGAACATTTGTGTAACTGCACACATCATTCTTAAATAGACTGTTTTCTACTTTATGACCCATTTGATACTTTAAATCTTTATGTTTTGGTACATAGGACCAAGCAAATCAACCTAAGTTTGCTTAGGTTACAGGCCACTGTAATTTTATCTTTTTTCTTCTTCTAGTATCACAAGTACATAACTCTTAATGTAATAGACACCTTTAAATCCTTGAAAAATTGTGATATGACTCATCTTTGATCAACATGTGCTTATCTATCAAAACATTTGATTTTTTTGCTAAACTTTGAAGGAATAAGCACTTTTCTGGGGAGACTAGTTGATCTGGGGTACAGTCTTTGATAATGAAATAGAAAATGAAATTTTAAAAATATGTAGAGGGAAGGAGCCAATGGCCTTGAACTCACTGGCATAATTTTTCAGATTTCTGTCTAACAATTCTGGAATGTTCAGTGTTTTTCTTTGGGGAAATAAAGAACAACATCCATGAAGGGATCTATTAATTTGTCTGAGATAGCTTCACCTCAAGCCCAAGAATTTTATAAATGAGTGGGATGAGTTCATTTTCCTCCCGGATATCTATTTGGAACAGAAAACAACCACTTGCTGGAGTTTAAAAATAAATCCACATGGCCAGCCATGGCCTTTTCCAGCACTTTCCATCAACCTTAAGTCAATGAAATAGATTTAATTAGCTTGTTTGGCTTCAAAATAAACTACAGGAAAGTCATCAACATTGATAGCTCTAATTCTTATGGAGTACAAAGAAAAATCAATTTTGCTGAGTAGAGAACCAAGAAGAGAATAGTTAGAAAAGACTCAGATCCCACAGAAATGTAAACTATCTGGCACCAAATGTGGAACTGATAGCAGCTGAGTTTTTCATTTTCAATTTTAGGATTATAGAACACTTGTTAGTGCATAGTCTGTAGCCAATTATTATAGTATACACTTGGAGAAACTATGGTGACGTTTGGACTTCTAGTAATTCTCCATGCTAGCCACTGAAATACAGCTTTTATCAGCAATGTTTGGACTATGTAGAGCATAAATCATTCCAAGAAGTAAAAATACCTTGAGACTCATGAAGTGATATCATAGAAGGTCAACACCTTTATACTTAGTACAAATGTTTTGTTGCTGAATCTCAAAATCACTTGAAACATATAACTGAGAAGGGATGGTATACAAGAAACACACATGCACACAAATACACATATGACAAAAATTATCCTTCAATATCATGTTTTGTTTTTTAATGTTTCTTGGTCTCTGCTTAAAATAGAAGATTAAACATAAATCTAAGTGGAAGAAAAAGGAATGGGTTTATACGCTGTGACTGGAACCTGTTCTATGTTCCACTAAACTGTTTCTACATGAAGGTAAATGAAAGGAAAATTTCTTCCACAAATGATCACTAATATTTTCTTCATGCATATCATCAGAAACAAGCTGATGAAAAGGTCCAATTCCACTTAGCTGATAAATCACAGCTTCTAAATCTTTCTTTAGTGTTCATCTTCCTTAGGTCTTCTAAAGAAACTTGTGTCAAATGGGTAGAACATTTTTCTTGACTGGAATCCAGGTGTGAAATTGATGTTTATGAGAATGCCAGCCGAAATTATAAATGCTTTAATAAGACAAAGAAATGTTTTTTTTTTTTCTTTTTAAATGCCTTAACTTACTGTCTCCATTGTGGCATTTTAGGAGATGCAGATCTTAACCTAAAAATTGGTTTAATTGTTCTTGTTTTGGCAGTAAAAATAGATGATTAGTCCATGTCTGGCTGTGTGAGACCTACCCCCAGAGTACCTCTCTCTCAACCTCTGCGTACTAATCTGAGTCTTAGCAAGAATTTGAAAGACTGCTGGAGGTTTTAAACCCAGAAAATGTACCTGTAATTCCTGCAGCCAGTGAACCCAGGGACAAATCAGGAAGTAAACTTATAGTTTTCCTACTTGAAAATCCTGAAGTTGAGTAAAAACCTTTCCTTCCTATATGAATAACTATTTTTTATTTATTTTCTGAAGACTAGAATTCTGCAAGATGGTATTGAAATCTAACTGCTTTTCTTAGGAAGTTTTGATGTCTCATACTATGACCCATTAACCCATCATTTGTGATCATCTGTGTTTGCATTTGTGTATATCTTTACAACTTTTATAGCACAGACACAACCAAAAGTGAAGGTGTGACATGAAGGGCAGAGCAAAACCCTCATCCTTGTGCTATGCCTACATTTTCCTGATTAATTCCACATTTTAAATGCCTGAGTAAAGTCAAATGTTTTCTCATTTTGTATCACCTAGAAGAGGAAAACCTTTGAAATATTATTTGGCTTTTCTGCAGAGGGCTAAGGTATTTGAAAGGTTATTAAGATTGAAATAATGGGGGGGCGCCTGGGTGGCTCAGATGGTTAAGCGTCTGCCTTCGGCTCAGGTCATGATCCCAGGGTCCTGGGATGGAGTCCTACATCGGGCTCCCGGCTCGGTGGGGAGCCTGCTTCTCCCTCTGACCCTCTCCCCTCTCATGCTGTTTCTCTCTCGCTCGCTCTCTAAAAAATAAATAAAATCTTAAAAAAAAGAAATAATGGGAAAAAAGGTTCTATATAAACAGTGTACCAAAGTGAATGCTCTGTCACTCTCCATTAGCATTGATATTTCAATTTACTTCAATTTAAAGTGACCCTAAATATATTTCAAGTGAGGTATACAATAAGACTTATAAATTTATAAAGGATTAACATTTACTTTCTCACAACACAATTAATCTAGAAATCGGTACCAAAAATTATCTCTAGGAAAACTCTAAATATTTGGAAATTAAGAGGTTTATGTGTAGAGAACATATAGATCAAAGAAAATGTTATGCGAAAAAGTTATTTTCTATTTAGAACTGAATAGTAAAGTAACAAAGATAAATTATACTAAAAAATCTTATGGAAAACAGATAAAGAAGACTATATAGGCAAATTCATTTTCATAATGTTTATATTAAAAAAGAAGAAACACTAAAAATTAATGAACCAATTATCCATCTTAAAGACATTATAAAACAAAAGCAGAGCAAACACCATTAAAATAGAAGCAGGAAATAATAAAGACATGAAAAGAAAGTGGTGAAATAGAAAATAAGCATGTACTAGGGAAGATACAAAAACAAAAGTTAATTCTTTCAAAAGGAAAGTTAAATTGACAAAACTTTGGTTTACCTGATTAATTTAAAAATGAGAGAAGGGATACATAAACAATATTAAGAAAAGGGGGATACAATTATTGATGCTACGGACATTAAATAGATGGTAAGAGGGTATTATAAAATAGCTTTGCACAATATTGAAAATTTCAACAAAATGGACAAACTGCTAAAATTATATAACTATTAAAAGGAACAAAAGAAGAGGCAGCAGCTCTTTCTGCTCACGGGTCCTGTCCCCGTGCTTTCATAAACCACCATTTTGCACCAAAGACATCTCAAGAATTCTTTCTTAGTCTTCGGCTCCAGACTCCACCCCATTGAACCTTGCCTATATCCCAAAACCCCATCATATGGTGCCTGAATGTGGGGCTTTGAGTCTTACATCTGGACTCTGAACTTCGGTAGAAAATTGTGTCTCAGGCACCATGGCTCCTCCCTTCACTGTCAAGGAGCAAGAGGAGCACCTCCTGGACCTAACACCACCTACTCCAGATTTCCCTACCAGTGTCTCAGGACACCATTGGAAACATTGGTTATTTTACCAAGGCTTTGACTGGAATGTCATATTTGAGAGAGACATGCATAGACTCAGATGACCAAACAGCTTTAAGGAACTGAGGTTGACTTTATGAAACCTGGAGCCATAAAGCCCCTTGGAACTGTTGGCCTGATACCTTGCTTAAAGAGTTCCCAGCAGCCTCACCAGTGTGAAGACTTCTTCACTGCCATAACTTCCAGCTAACAGTTGATCCTTTCTACTCAAGGAGGTTCATTGATGTTGACCGTGTTGGATTCAGCTGCCGCCCCCTTTTGTAACTCCCCTATACATTCCCCAAATGACCAATATTGACCCATAGGTAGGGACATCTCTACACCCCTGTTCAGCAGGAAGACATTACAGAAGATGAGACCTTCCACCTTAAACAACCTTAAAGATTTACGGGTCAAATTGTTCAGGGGGGAATGATGAGAGAACAAGGCAAGCTGAGGACAAAGCAGAAGCTGACACCCACAACCCGCCCCCCATGGGATATATATGTGACATTCCTCAGGCACTTCTGGCTGCCCTAAAGGAAAAACTAACTTATAGAGTCTCCCTCAGTTTACAAATGTCTTAGCAATCTACAAGAACAAAGCATTCGATACTATCATCAATAACCTAGTTTCCAGAAAGAAATGTAGATACAGTTAAAGACTTTATAACCTGCAGCCCATCAGCAGATACTTGAAGTGGGCAGAGTGTAATGTTCCTCCAGGAAGTTCCCAACTATCTTCATGTTAATGCCTTACTGGAGGGGTAAACAACCTTAACTTGACAATGGCAAGGCCTCCAGTATCCTGTGAGTCTTCTTTAGCATATGAAAATTATTTTGGAAACCTCCCTTTTTCCTTACCTCCCCCAACCCTATAGTATATAATCAGCCACCACTCACAACGCCGGGGCAGCAGCTCTTTCTGCCCACGGGTCCTGTCCCTGTGTTTTAATAAACCACCATTTTGCACCAAAAAAAAAAGGGGGGGGAACAAGGGAAGAAAGACTATTTTTTCATTATCAAGGAATTTGAAATAGTAATTTAAAATCTCCGTACAGTGAAAACTCCAGGCACAGATAATTTGATTGGCAAATTCTACCCAACAACTTAGGAACCCTTAATTCCAATGAATTATGAACTATGTCCAAGCACAGAAAAATAAAGAACAATCTCCAGCTCACTTTATAATGCAGGTGAAATCCTGATACAAAGTTTCACAAGGACAAAATGAGAAGGAAAGTTATAGGTGGATCTCACCTCACTCATGAACATAGAAACAAACATCTTTTTTTTTTTTTTTTAAAGATTTTATTTATTTATTTGACAGAGAGAGAGATAGCAAGAGCAGGAACACAAGCAGGGGGAGTGGGAGAGGGAGAAGCAGGCTTCCTGCCGAGCAAGGAGCCCGATGTGGGACTCGATCCCAGGACCCTGGGATCATGACCTGAGCCGAAGGCAGACGCTTAACGACTGAGCCACTCAGGCGCCCTGAAACAAACATCTTAAACAGGAAAGTTATAGGTGGATCTCGCCTCACTCATGAACATAGAAACAAACATCTTAAACTAAATTTTAATAAAGGAAATCTAACAACTCTCAGAAGTGTAATTTTTAACTTCAGAAAGTAAGTGCCTGCAGTTTGGCACACTAACAGATCAATACAGAAAAATTGTTTGTGTTATTGTATTAAATTAAGAAATGGTGTTCAATAAAATCAGATAGCCAATTATGATTTTCTAGATCTTTCAAGACTAGCAATAGAAATAAACTTCTTACTCTGATAAAAATCCCTGTAGTGGACATCTCATTTAATTGTGAAACACTGGAAGGATTCTTTCAGTATCTGGAACAAGATAGGCTGACCACCAACACGAATTCCACTCAACATTACACTTCAGGATCTATCTTCTACAGTATAGCAATATAAAGAAATAACATAAAAGC